TAATAAAATAAACAGATACACGACCCTAACAGTTCGATAGTTTCGGATAAAATTTTGTAAGGATCATGTATTATATTATGTCAATGAATATTTATAATACAGAAATAAAAGTATTAATATATAATACCATTCCTTTAAATTAAAACCTTTATTCTTTTTATATAAGAAAAAATTTTTTTTTTAAATTTTTTCGTGCTTAAAAGAAACTGCTCCATAGCTCTACTTGTAGAGACATAATATTCGTCTCTACCAACCGTTAGGCTATGCATTTAGTAAATGTTATTATATGTCCACATAAAGCATATGTAGTATATCGTACACCCTTGGATATTAACAATTAATAAGATGAACTAATTTTTTTACCACTCCACTAATTTCAGTTTTACCGATTTCGTTTCACCAATTTCAACAATTCAACAATTTCAACAATTCACCAATTCCAACAATTCACCGTTTCACCAACTGACCGTTTCGCCAATTCACCAATTTCACTAATTTCAACAATTAAACAATTAAGCAATTCCAACAATTCACCAATTTCACCAATTCAACGTTTCACTAATTTACCAATTTCATCAATTTTACTAATTCACCAAACTCACCAATTCTACCATCTCGCCAAACTCACGCCAATTCCACCAATCCACCAATTCTACCATCTCACCAATCTCACCAATCTCACAATTTCACCAAATTTTTACTCTGGTGCAATTCCGGTGAAATTATCTGGTGAAATTGTTTAATTTCATCAGTATCTTTATTTTTAACTCAAAATAAATGTACTAGAATAAACACATTTAATTATAGATTCAAAAATGCCGTTCTTTTGAAAGTTCACATTGTCAATGCCTCTAACTTCTACAGTACCATCAAAATTTAGTCAAAGACCAGGTGCCGACAGAATTCACGTGAGCGAATGATCAATGTAAAAGATGAAGATTATCAAGAACCAATCAAACAACATACATGTATGTATATGTATGTATGTGTATATATATATATGGTATGTAACTGAATATTCACATCTTTCTCCGTAAGAATAGAGGTGTGTCTTTGGACAAATATCATGTTAGAAAATTCAAAACATGATACTTCAAGACGAAATCTCGCAAGTCGTAAACCGAAGAAATCGCAAGGATTACCACATAATAGAGTTCCGTCAACGGTCGAATCACCTGAACCTTATTTCTATGCTGATTATACAGCTCCTCTTGTTCACGTAAGTCTTTCTCTCAACATAAATTTTTTATATTTAAATATTGCATACATTCTTTTTTTTATATATGCGTTTATTTGTTTTTAGGTAATGTTTGCTGGTGGTATTGGTGGTTCTACAGCTGATTTTTTAATGCACAGGTAATTTAATTTCTAATACCATTAGTGAGATTTTTACGCATGCATTCAGTTGATTTAGTGATCATAACTTTTATTTATAGTATAGATACTGTAAAAACTAGATTACAAGGTCAAAGACTGACAAAACCTTTAAAATATCAAAATATGTTGCATGCTTACATTACAATATTCAAACAAGAAGGAATTACACGTGGATTGTATAGTGGAGTGACCCCTGCCATTTTGGGTTCCGGTAATGTAACTGTCTATATGCACGTACTAGTAAGCTAATCATAAAAGGTGAAAGACTTTATTATAATTAATATCGTGATGTTTATTATGTAATTAGTGCCGGCAACAACAATTTATTTTGGAACATATGAGCTTACAAAGCGTAAATTAACTGCAATAGGAATACCAGACACTGTTGCGCATTTGACGGCTGGTAAGGAATATGGAAAAAAGTACATATTTCTTTATGCACAGCAAATAATTTGTTCTTATGCGCATTAAACTTTCCTCCCAAACAAGGTAAATAAATTTTTACTTATTTATTTATTATCTACTATGATCTTTTGTTAAATGTCTAATCAATTCATATACTATTTAATTAGGTTCTGTGGGAGATGTAATGGCATCTTCTGTATACGTTCCTTCAGAGGTAGGAAATACGTATACTTTTCACACAAGTGCGACCAAACTTGATTAAAATTATTTGACTAAATTTAGGTTTTGAAGACTCGTCTGCAGCTGCAAGGCCGATACAATAATCCACACTTTTTTAGTGGATACAATTATAAAAATACTTGGCATGCTGCACAAGCGGTTTGTTTTTAACCTTTACATATCAATATTTTTACATTTCTCGAAAAGCTACAATTTTAATTTCTTTTTTTCTTCTAGTTATATAAATATGAAGGCCCCGGTGCATTTTATCATGGATATAAAGCAACTTTATTACGTGATGTGCCTTTTTCGGCATTACAATTTGCTTTTTATGGTATTTTTGATAATCTTTTAAATTGGTTAGAATTAAATCAAAAAAATAGCTTGATTAATTAAGATAATAATTCAATATATAGAAAAATTTAAATTATGGGCAACATTATATACAAATACTATTAATCAAGACAATCAATTAAATCTTAAATGGGAAATTGCAACTGGTGCATTTGCAGGTGGTTTAGCAGGCGCTTTAACAACACCGTTAGATGTTATGAAAACGCTACTACAAACTCAAGTACAAAAACAAGTTAAAGCAAAAAAGTTAATTCCTTCTAAGCAAACAGCAACTGTTCCTCCTCAAAATGTGACAAAATATACTCATTATTATACTGGTATATGGGAAGGAATGATATGGAATTATAAAAATTATGGACTTAAAGGACTATTTAGTGGAATTGGTCCAAGAGTTGCCTGGACTGCAATGCAAAGTGGAATAATGTTTGTTATTTATGAGCAAGTACTAGGATTGTTGGTTAATTGACATTTCGTACTAAATAAAAACATCAGGCAAGTGATAATTACTGGTATAAAATACATGTGGTATTATTATAATATTAACCGTGTCAAAATAATAATTGCTATATAATGGTTTTTATAGGGTTTGTAAAAAAATAAAATTAAAAAATAAATAGGACTTGTATATAGATGTTAAACCGTTTACATTTTACTATATAAACCGAGATAGTTCTGATAGTTTAATATATTAAATTTTATTTGATTTCAAACTATTAAATGGTCTAATATTTTTATTTATAGATAATTATGTTATTAGATTTAGATATAAATATATAAATGAGTAAGTATTTTTTTAAATCTTTGAATATTGTTTAAAATTATAATTTTTAAATCATTTATATTTTATATAAATTTAGATAAATTTTTTATGATTAGATAAAATTTATTTTTTATATAATAAAAAAATTTTTTATAATATATTGATTAATTTTTTTAAAAAAATTTGGTTAAACAATATATGTCATTTATTACGGGTAATTTTATTATTTTTTTAATTTCATTAACTCTAGAAATATTTATAATTTATCAAGTATGCAAAAATACTAATTTGCAATATTGGTTTTGGTGGAATTAAAAAAATTTGTATACTCTTCTTGATAGGTTTTAAAAACAAACTATTATTTTAATTTTTTTTATAAATTTAGCTATAGTAATATAGTATTTAAAGTTGTTTTTTTTTAGAATTATTAAGAATATATTAGATTAGAAAATTACTAAGGGTACACGTAGTGTATAATACATGGGCATTAATTTAAAAATCTGTGCAACATGCAAATCAAAACAACTTTAACAAAACGAAAAATTAGGCCCTACTTCAGGTTAGGGTAAGGGTGCATTTAGGATTGGGGCGTGTTATAGCCTATACCAAAATTTCGCAAGGAATTTTTTTTGTTAGAACCCAAAAGGTGGTTTCATAAGCGAAATTTTGATATTTCATAATTTAACGTTACACCTGATCGTGCAATCTAATTGCTTTCTAAATACCCGTGTACAAACACCCCGTGTACAAATAGAAATTGCCATAAATAAAATACGGGAAAAAAGAGAAATTCAAAGCCAAACTTGAATAACCATTACATTATATATCAACATGAGAAGCTTTTCAACGAGGTGACAAGGAATCATTATTGCGAAATCAAATAACGTAAATGACATTATTGGATCACAAGTTAAAATCGGCATTTGAATTTTTTGTATAGTCCTTATAACTTTATTATAATTTTACGATTATAATAAATTAATGGATAAAAATTTGCTAGTTTCTGTAAAGTATTTACTTAAGCAAAAATACGGCAACTGTTATCAATTGTCTAACATATCCTTCGCTAAAGTAAATTAGTTATACTGAAGTTATAAGAGGTAGTTTGGTGTAACAGTACCGAACTTGATGGAGATAAAGAATTTTTTATGAGTACTGTTTCTAATAAAGTTCTAAAAACGAACCCTAATACTAATTTTTTTCATATATTTCACTATAATAGTATTGTATTTTAGAGAACTTTTTAGAACCTTGTCAGGAAAGGTATATAAATCGACTTTTTCCCTACTGTAACTATTATTTGGGTAAGTTAGATTGAACAAGCAGATTTATTTCTAATAGTTACGGGAAGATCTAAACATTTGCGATTGAGAGATAAGTTTTCAATGTTTGCTTAATAAAGGCCTCTTCGGCTCTACACTAGCTTTATTATTACAGGGTAAAATCGAAGGAAGTTTCTTCCTTTATTACATCCGAAAACTTGTGCTTATATAATAATTATACTGCACGTTGACGTGCTACCTAACACGCTAACGTATTATACTGCACGTTGACGTGCCATTCTGAACATTCAAATTCAATGAAATATTACCTCCTACAACAACGTATACGTGCAAAAGGGGACGATCGTACAAGTTTCCACCTCGAAATTAACTTTAATACATTATACAAAAATGGGGCCGCTAAAGCCTTGTACCCACTTGACTTTTTTATTTACACGAAGAAATCAAAAAAATCAAAAAACCAAAAAAACGAAAAATATGAAAAACGGCAGTCTAAACCTGTCTTGGTATATTAATAAAAAATGTTGGGAAGGGACTTTACCTATATACCTGCCTTTACCTTAACAATAAACTAACCCTAACCCCAATTATAATTAAAACTTCGAAAGTCACATGAGTACAAGGCTTTAGCGATCCCCAAAAATGGAAATTGAAGCTATTTATACTAAAGAAAGAAGGAGACGATCTACATACAAATTTGGGGCAAAACCAATAGGGAAATACGAATCTCTAATGTCACAAATTTTGATGGGTACTATGCAACATGGTATTTACAGCTGTTTTCAAAAAGATGTGGAAAACGATTTCCATATACCCATATGGGGAATCAGAGAATTTGAAAATTACAATTAGTAAAAATTAAGGAACCGATTGGTGCGGGTCTTGAAAACTTTGGAAATCTTGGAAATCTTGGCAAATTTCCCGTAATATGATGATCTGCCCATTCCACATCTTTTTGAAAACAGCTATAATTGTTACATGATTAAAATTCAGGAAATCACATCGGATGTCACCATGCTGCATAGTGCCCATCTCTAGGCACTATCCATTATGAGCGGTATTATTGCAGCTAAGCTAATTGATGTAAAACTTCCAAATATAGGGTGCCTAAACCTAAAGCGGAGGTAAATTATATAATTCATATTCATATTTATTCACCTTTAGGGTTAGTGTGGGCCATCTTATAGCTGTTTTCAAAAAGGTGTGAACAGACGCAAATAACTATATCACGGAAAATTCACGAAATTACCAAAATTTCCACAACTTTCAAAGCCAGCTCTAATCGGATCTTCATTTTTTACTAATGATAATTTCCCAATTCCTCGATTCCCCACATAGGTATGTGAAAATCGTTGTTCACACCTTTTTGATAACGGCTATAAATTAGGGTTAGATTAGGTTTTAGGTAGTTATATATATGCAAAATTGCCTTCCTGACATTTTTGCTTAACCTATCCAAGGTAGATTTAGACTGCCATTTTTTGTATTTATCAGAATTTTCATTTTTCTGATTGCTTCGCCGGCGATCATCAAAATTCTATAATTTGATTACATGGTTTCCCTAATATGAAATCGGTAAAATAGGTAAAATAGATCGATTTTTGTGCCATCACTAATACACTCGTGTTGATGTTTTTTATTAATAAATAATACAATTAACATATTTAAAGTTGCTAATTAAGTTAATCATATTAATTAATCTTTAATCGATTTCAATAAATAGCTCAATGAATGAATAATTTCGTTCTCATTTAGTATTTAATGATTATTAATCTGTACCGGTAATACAACCCAAAAAAGGAAATTTAATATTTTAAAGTGCGGTAAAGATAGAAATTTTCGGTGATGACGTTAAGGGTAGGGTGAGTGATGGTCATATGTTATTTATATTGCACTACCTAGGTTTATTGTAGCTACGTACGTACGTACGTACGGGCTTTACTTATTTGTTCCAGTAATATAAACTCCTAAAAAGGAAATAACCAATCAGTGAGTTCGAATTTTGATCGTTCCGGATCAGCCCGACATAAATTCCGAA